CTAGGAATGTGGGGGTGGGTGACCAAATAAGAATAATTTTGTGAAGCTTCGCGTAAGTTTCGGCTTCACGATATGCGATTGGGGAGCAGGTTGACACGGTAGCCAACTCGGCCATTTCTGGTAGTAACACGACCGATTGTGGCCAACTTACCAGTGGCGTCTCCTATCGCTTTCGCGTGCTTTCTTGACTGCATCTGCGTGTATTTGCAGTCGGAAGCGGTAGGGTCGTCTCGGCGGTCGTGAGGCGACCGCCGTTTAAGGTTCGTGGTCAGGGCCTGCGCGGAGGCCCCGCCTCGCCATTCACATTGCGGGGCTGGCCGCCTGGCGCACGGGACGGACGGCGGCCGATTGCTCGCCGGTGGAGGGATTGTATCTGGGGGAGAGGAGTGGGAGACCGACGTGCTTCGGAGTCCGTTGGCACCTTATCTCTCTGCGGAGCTCCCGTCTGCACCTCAGCGCGGCGGTGGTTATAACGTTGCGCGGCGGGCTGCCCTGGGCGTCTTGGGCGGCGAGCTCATCTTCTTCTTCTTTCCCCTCTTTTTCCCTCGAGAGGAGAAGGGGTTTCAGAGGGATTGTGGCCGTTCTCAGCGACTCGCCAAGTGTCGGGCGTCATGTCGGCACTGGAAGGGGGCGCTAAGTCCTCTGTGCGCAGCCGCTTTTCCCGGAGGCGAGCGTGCCGAGGGCGAGCCGGTCGCTGGTGCGGCCCAGGTCATTGGTGAGTGGGAGGGGCGGGTCTCCCGTGAGCTGCTCGCAGGGTAGGCGGTCTACCCCGGGCGTTTTTTCTGGTGGGGTGGCGGGGCCACGTTGCCGCTTCTGCGTTGGTGTGGGGGCCGGGGTCGGAGTGCGCGCTTCGATTTCTCGAGCCCTTTCCCGAACCATGGGGAGTGGTTGTTGTGGAGCTTGCGATCTCCAGAACTGGGAGGAGCTCCGCTTCCCTCGATGGGCGAAGGCCAAAAGCACGTCGTGGGGCACCTCGCTGCAGCCGTATTCCGGGGACACCGCGGGCTGAGCAGCAGCCGTGAGTGGTGCCCCACTGCGTTGCTCCAGGACTCTTCGCCGTCACGCGCCACGCGGAGCACGATGCTCCTCTACGGGGTAATGGTATCTTGCTGTTGCGGGGAACACGACATGTTGCCTTCCGGATAGCTAGTGTGCGAGCGTGACCCGCCCGGTCTCCCAGTTGGCCGGCCCGCGGGAGCTTGAGCTCCACCGGGGCCACAGAGCTGCTTGCCGCAAGTGCGGGTGAAAGGCGTTTGAAAAGGGTCGCCTGACGGAGCAGAGAGGGACACGTCCGTTCCCTCCGACTGCTGAGAAGAGAATGGAAATATTTCTGAACTGCATTCACAATCAATAGAATGGCATCTCGTAGCTCCGTTGATGAGAGAGGGCCAGTTTTCCTAGGGAGTAATAAGGTTCTGTTTCTACACTGATAAATCGACTGTAATACGCTGTTATTCGCAGTAACTTGTGATAAGAATTGAAATTTTAGATAAGATCCGATATGACGACTCCTCAGCACAAGGGGTAGTATAAAAAATTGTGAATGAAGTAGTAATTTTTACCACTTTCTGACCTCAGACAGAGTGCTATCCTGAGATAACGGCTGGATCATCCATTCTGGACCATGAAACCATTTGTCGTTGGAAGCCAGACTTCTGGCAGTGACTCCCCGTGATATGAGATCAGCAGGATTATCTTTAGAAGTGATATGTAACCAATCCTCCGCTTGGGAACATTCTCTAATTATAGAAATTATATTAGAAATGAAAGCATCTGATTTATTAGAACCATGCTCTATCCAATGCAGTACTATAGTGATATTCGTATCTGTAAATAAATCTATAGGGTGACCTTACAAATTAGAGTCACAGTATTTTCACTCTTCATGAATTTGGCTAGTAAAACTTCTCCACACAATTCAAAACAAGGGAAAGTGGTGCCAGCTAATGGAGTAAGCTTTAATTTCGGTGCTATTACAGTTCTTTATCATTCTTAGCGAGAATTTTCACAGACCACATGCACATAGCAGCCATATGCTTTAAGGGAGGCATCAGCGAACCAGCTTAAAAGTCCTAATATTTTGGCCAATTGGTCTGGACCTAATGCGACAAGATCCTCCCCGGGGGATTCTCCTAGCAAAGTATGTATGATAGCATTGCTTCTAATCTTTCTTAATTTAAAATGAACTTCTAAAAGCAGATCTGATGTTTGTTTAAATAATTGAATTGCCTTAGGTTCTACTCCATGCAATAAATCATATACAAAGAAAGAATTTGCAATGGCAAGGGGTGCTTCTGGAAAGGCAGTTCCATTATTAATAGCAATTTGTTTCAAATATCGTGTTTCTAAAATGTAGAAGATGCAAGGTCATAAGTCGCAGTATTTAATATATAGATTTTTAGAGTAGCTGAAGAATTGTTTCTCAAAAGTTTTTTTTATATAATTAATGAGTTCTTCATTCAATCGAACCATGCGATATATTTTCTCTATGTCAGCAGCAAAGGTGCAATTGACAGTTCTTTATCTTAAAAGTATATCAGGCTAAATGTTTCCAAACTTAATTCAGGTTAAATATTTGGAACAGCCCAGAGAATATGGTTTAAACTGTGCCCAGAAGTGGTTTTCACCGACGCGTGAAACACAATTCTCAATTTTGTGGTTAACGAATTAGAATTTTGTACACAAAAATGCAGAATGTAATTGCTAATTACACCCCTTCGTTACATTTTTTGGCGTGTCCAAGCTCTATATATTCTCTCATAAATGTTGCATAATCTGTATTGAGCTCCTCATCCTTTTGAAAGCGGTTTTCGTAAATTGCTTCGCGATGGAATACGATCTCCCCAGTTCCGCGGGGTCTGCTTTAAAAGGCAAGGATACAGAAAACTGACCACTTGGTAGCCACTTGGTGGCTTCAAAATGAGCTTCAGCGGGGTGAAATGAGTCTCGTTTCTATCAGTCTCGTCCCATATTCTGTGCATATCGAATTCCTTACTACATGGTAATGCATCCTGTTCCTCCAGGAGGAAGAAACATTTGGCCTTACTCTCTTGCTTGCATTCCTTGATTTTAACTGCCCTTGCAATGACCGAGCCTAACAGTGTATTCAAAATGGCAGGGATGTCATTAGGTAGTGTGATGTTTGCTTAGGAAATTTCAAAGAACCCAAGAGTTTAAGAACATGTCAACCTTGTTTGACAAATGAAACGTATCATTTGCAAGTTTGAGATGTGTTGGTATTATTAACTTTGACAAATCAACGGAGGTTTGAGACAATTTTGATGAAATAGACTGTACAATCAAACATTGCACTCCAGTTTGCCAATCATTGAAACGAGATTTGATAGTTACATTCACTTTTTCATTCGACCCTGATTTTAAATAATTAAATGTATCAAATAGTTACACTTTGTTCTTTGAATATTTAAGAATTGGACGAGAGCTTCCGTTACAAAACAAATTTTACTGCCCGAGTCCAGCAACGTCCTGATTGGTACATCGTTACTCATTTTGTCAGTAACTAAAATTATAGCAGTGGGTAACAAGGCCCGAAATTTCTTTGTTTCACTAAATGGCATGTATAAAAGAAAACGTTCTCAGCATCTTGTGCTTCCGTGCTTATCATAGAACATTCTCCTCCATTGAGGAAAGATTGTGATTGTACATTAACAACAGCTCCTACATTCGATTTTGAGGTTATGTTTGAATTTACTGCCTTAGTACTCGAGGCCTCTTTCTTATTATTTGGGTCATGCAAGTGAGAATGATGTTTCTGATTACATATCCTACACTTATTTTTGCTACAAGGGTGGTCTGTGTCTGCTTTGAATCTCGTTGAGAGAGCATGAAATGTTTCCAAGATTATTTCGCTTAAATCTACATCTAGAGACATCGATTTCAGTCCACAACAATTTGTGGAAATTTGAGAAATGAATTAAGAGAAGATAAACCACCTTTTATTTGGGCAAAGCCTTGATGTGGGTGTCTAATCTTGGTTTTATTTGAATGCCCATCGACTAATAATTGCCAAGCTCTGTTAAAGTTGATACATTCAAGGCGCTCAGAATCATACACGGTTACTCCTTTAAATGGTAAATCAGATGCATATATTTTTCAATATTGCTCAGTTAATCATTTTTCACGACTGCCGTAATGAAAATATCATGAAATTACATAAACTGATCGTACATATCCGAGAATGTTTCCAATTTCACGTGTGGTAAGCTTCCCATAGGATTTGGCTTACTGACATGTAAATAACTGATAAAATGGCTAATTCAGAGAGACATTGGCTTTGAAAATTCATGTATCTGCTTTCTAAATTCTCAAACTAGGGAGTTAAGTCATATAAACCCTCTTGTTTGATAGCTTCATCAACTGTAAATCTGATATCCTTCCACAACTCTCCACCCCTGTTCAACATACATTCCAAGTTGTTAAATTGCTAAGATCTGAAAGAGAATTTAGATTCTATTCAATTCTCGTCAACGCTGAATCTAACCATTGCCATTTCGATAAAATCTGCCGTCTTTTAACAGGCATTTGGGCTAGCAATTTATGAAATGCTTATGCTATTTATCAATACACAAAACACTGGTTTGTGGCTTTTTTAAGAAAGAATATGGAGACATTTGTAAGCGCCACTATTAAACTATGCACATAAACTCAACTTAATACTTATAACCTCACAAATGAATCACAAGTATACTTATAAAAACGACACATCAGCACAACTTATTGTTCCCGAGTTTCCGCGCCATTGTTGAGGCAGCGAAATATTGCTTAGATGAATTGTGTGAGCAATTGCAGAAACTGCAACGAGGGATCTCATCAGACGAGAGATTTATGAAAAAAAGCAACACATAATTGACTGAAAATGAAATTGAAATGTGCTGGGAATTGTTTGCCAGCGTAGCGTTCCATGTGACCAATACACGTTTCACTTATCTTCTCTGCACGTACGCTACGAAATTGCTCGCGGCTCTTCTGATTTTCAAGTAATGCGAGTTTGCCGCGAAATCTTTTGTCGCGGCCGCCCAGGAGGTGCTGTGATGTACTGGTGACTTTTCGAACCAGTTGAAGCTGCTGACAATCGATTTCAAAGGACTTTTGCGCGGTTTTTGAGCAATCGGGCGGGCGCGCATCGGCGCGTGGGCCGGGCGCCTTTCCTCGTGTGCGGCGCGCGCGTACCAGGGACCGGGCGGCCACGTGCGGCGGTGATGGTGCGCTGGGAGCAGTCCTCGTTTGAGTGCGACAGTGACTTGCTATTTGCTAGTGCATCGCGGAAATTCGAAGAAAAATCCCCGGTCCAGTGGCCAGTACTGCGGCTAGTGAGTGTGAGAAATAATCCGAATCGTGTGTCGTGGGTGCGGCAAGAACCTCTCTTCGGGGCTGGCGATGCGCATCCTGTGCGCGATTGGTTCCACAAAAGTTGTGGCAAGTTAAAAGAGGGGAATGGTGAGGGATGGCGTTATGTCCAAATGCAAGGTTAACTACGTGCAACGCCGGAAGAAGAGCTGCAGATCCGCGCGAAGGAGAAATCGCAGATCTTAAGGTGTCCACATTAAAGCCCTTAATGAGCAATGACGGAGTTGAGAGATAAAACTGGATACTCATCCGTGCCTCAACCTGTTAGATGTTGAGCGCTTACGAGACTCTGTCTTATACTTAGGAGACTCTATAATGCCGACACGTGGCAAAACAAGACAACAATGCGCGTGGAATGTTGGCCGGGCATCCGTACGGACAATTGAAGCGGTTTTGTGGGAAAATTCTTGACCGTTGGACTCCCGATAAAATAGTGCTTCATGTAGGTACTTTAACGATTTTAAAGGCAAATCATGAATATATATTGGGAGAATTACAATCTGTCAATGTTACCAGACAAAGTTTCCACGCGCTTCTATTTGTAGTAAGTGGTGTTCTGACGACGCAGAGACATGTCTGGAGGCGCATCGGCCACGTGAATATTTAATGAGTTGGGTTGCCGAAACAACAAGGTCAATTTCGTTGACCCCAACTGCCTGGTGCGAGATTCCGACTTTGGTCCGCGACGGGCTCCACTTAAATCGAAGAGGAGCAGTCAGTTTAGGACAGCCTTCATTTCGCTTGTGTCTGCAACTCCATGCCGCTGTTACTGTCTGAGAAAGAAAGCAGTGACTAACATGGCGGGAGGGGTCATGGTTCGCGAGGACGAGATGGCGACACGGACACGGTCGACGAGACGGGCGGTACGGACGAAGCGGTCGTGAAGTACGAGTCGCCGGCTTGTGCAGGGCCGAAACTGTGGAACTCAGGAGAGGGCGGCGCGGGGACCCAGACAGCGACGCGGACGAGACGGTGGGCGTGACGAGACGGCGGAGGGGACGAGACGGGGCGCGGGGACGAACGCGGGGCGCGGGACGAGGACTGCGGCGCGGGACGAGGATGAGCGCGGCGACGAAGACTGCGCGCGGGACGAGACTGCGGCGCGGGACGAGACGCAGCGCGGGATGGATGGCTGTGCGGGACGTCGACAAACAGGTCGAGGGTATTCTGCGACTGCTGCAGGTGAATTGTAGGAGTATGCGCTTCGAAATATTTGAATTTTGAAACGTTAATTGATACACTAGGCCTGATGTAATCATAGGTACAGAAGTCTTGGCTCACAGAGGAGATAAAACAACGCCAGAAATATTTAGTCCGAATTTCGATTACATATAGACGGGATCGTTAAAAATAAAATAGGAGGGGGCATTTTCATATTTGCGTTAGAAAAACATGAACAGTGTTTTGAAATAATGACAGATGATGTACATGAATATTAGTGGTTCAGTTTCGGGGAATGCGGAACAATACGGATTCTTAAATATAGTTTGCGGTATATCGTGCTCCTAACGAGAAACTTGTCAGCAGTACATAAATTAGTAGAAATAAGTAAAAATTCGGGGTTACTTTCAGGAAATCTCATAATTGGTGGAGATCTAAATTTACCGGATATATCGTGGAAGGTGTGGTAAGTGCAAAAAGCAATGGACAATCCCTCCGTTAACCGAACTCGTTTGGGAACAACGGATTAACTCAGGTAGTTGGTTCTCTACAAGAGCTAGCGGGTGCTTGACGATTTTTAGTTCGCCCAGAGCAGATGTTCATAGCTAAGAAACCAACACCAGGTATTAAGTGACCACGAGGGCGTGCTTTTGCAGAGTGGCGTGGCAGGGAACCCAGGTACATCGAAAAACACACGAAAAACTATTATTTCCAGTACAGTCGCTGCTGACACAAAAGGTTTCAGAAATACTTATTAGGGAACTACGGCGTTTGCGGAAATACAGGTAAAACGTAGAAGAAACATGGAAACTCATTTAAACAAATAATGTTTATGGCGAGAAGTTTGTTGTGCAACTAAGATAGTTAAAGAAATAGTGATCCAGCCGTATTACACGGCTAATATCAGAAAACTAAAAGAAAGGTCAGAAAAGCGTACGCTAATCGTAAGAAAGATGTTCACTGCGGCTCTCTCAAAGATCTAACGTAACAAATTAATGCACAAAAACGTAATAGCGCAAGAAAATTATCATCCGTAAAATTCTATCAAACGAGCGATCTTGTTGGAGAAATTTTTATAGATAATAAAACACAAAAGGGGTAACAAAGAGAATCTATTCCGCCACTTAAGACGAAAACGGAAAATTTTGTCTAAGAATAAAGAAAACGCGATCATTTTAGTGCCATATGCCAATCAGTATTCGGGTTAGGATCGATTCACTCCAAGACTTCGGAAAACAATGAGGCGAGAAAAATTTCAAGTACCACACGACTCATTAGACAAAGAATTCGCAATATAGAAGTAATAAAATCCGTTTGGGTTTGACGTATCGCTGGAGAATTATTACAATTGGAGGGGAACCGAAGATTACATACTTGACACGATTATTTGAAATAAGCATAATACATTGTAGCGTGCTAACGATGGAAAGGCTATAGTGGTTTCCAATATTTAAAACCGGAAGTCGTTCTTGCCGATTTCCAATTACAGACCAGTAAGCCTAACGTCAGTGATTTCACAAACAAATGGAACAATCTGGTGCTGAGTTCTTGCGTCGCGAAATGGGACAAACTAGGGTTGTATTACAAGGCAGAATGGATTTCGAAAATCCTTCTCGTGTGAAAGCCAAATTATTACAATGTGTCAAGAAATTGCTGAAACTTTAGATTCGGGTAAGAGAACAGGACGCAATTGTTATAGATTTTTCAAAAAGCATTCGATCTTGTTTCACACGATATACTACTTACGAAAATAGCATCTACGGGAGTTGATAATTGCGTAATAGCATGGATACGGGAATTCCTGATAATCGGGTTTCAACAAGTTCGAGTTGGACATGAACATTCAGAGGAAACCCTAATTACGTCCGGCGTCCCCAGGGAAGTGTTTAGGACCGCTGTTGTTTCTGGCATTCATCAACGATCTTGCCATCATGTATTAAGTCAGTAATGCGCTTATTGCGGACGACTGCATAATTTATCGGCGAATAGATTCGGATGAAGATATTCTCACACTTCAAACCGATCTTATTAACATTCATTCCTGGCTACCATTAATAAAATGAAGATAAATGCTGTAAAAAGTAAATCACTAAGCTTTTTCGAAATCAGCAAAGAAGGTTTCTTTAGAATACCAAATGGAGGCGTATTCATTCCACAAGTATCGTGTTGTAAGTATCTGGGTGTCATATTACGCCAAGACTTGGGATGGGGGGAACACGTTACTTCTATTGCCCGAAAAGCGTGGAAGTCACTACCATTTTGTAATGAAACACTTAAAAAGGGAAACAAGGAGAGTCGAAAAATAGGATACACATCTTTAGTTAGGCCAATTCTTGAATACGCATCAGCTGGATGGGATCCATACAGATTAGGTCAGATTGAAGAGTTAGAAAAAATTCAAAAGAAAAGCAATCAAATTCAATAAATAAGGGATCTTGCGAGTAGTTCAAATCCACCAAAATCTTTAGAGGCCCTCAGTGTGCGAAGAAAAAAAGCCAGATTGTGCTGCCTCTTCAAGGCGTACAGTAAGTCACCTGCATGGGCAGAAATAACGAAAAGACTAGACTCCCTCACAAGAGTTGGGAACTGGGAAACGATCACAAATGCAAAAATAAAAAGTAGATGTCAGAGATCCGACGTAGGGAAATATTCATTGTAAATCGTACGGTTAAAAATTGGAATGAAATCCCTGCAGCGGTCGTAGAGCCTTTTCCTGGTTCTGTTGTGTTTTTAGAAGACGACTTAATAAGTACTTGTAGGCTGTAATTTACCCGCACAGCTCAGAATACACAATTTGTAGATTTTATAGAAAAGTGTAGTGTAGTTCAGTGCAGTGGAAAGCTACTTTAATTAGTTTATTGGCATAACCAAAGAAAGATGTAGTGAAAGTGTAGTGGAGTGGAGTGTAATGTAGTGAAGTGAAGTGAAGTGAAGTGAAGTGAAGTGAACTGCGACAGTAGGTGGGGAGCAAATCTAAATGCTTAAAGAGCTAACTTTAAAAATCCACATTGTGTTTATATTTAAAAACAAATTGTGTAACTGGTTAATTTTATGTATATGTATATATGTGCATGTTTACTAGGTGTAACTAAATATATGTTCTTCATTTAAATGTAGGCATGTATAATATGTAGGGAAGTGTGTGTGTGTGTGTGTGTGGTGTTCGTGTTATGTGTGAACGTGAGAGTGAGCATTCATGTATAGGAATGTGTGTGTATGTATGTATGTATGCATGTGTATGTATATGTGTGTGTGTATGGGTGTATAATGTGCCATAGATGTATACAGGTCTGTGTATGTTTATATATTGAGTGTATATGCTCGAAGAAGTGTACTGTAAATTGTTTTTATATGGTAAATTGTTTTTGTATTATAAATGTTCATATATTGTAAAACTGCAGGGTTGTTGGCTACCACTGGCAATCAGCCAATTGTAGCCAAATAAATATTATATTATTATTATTATTATTATTATTATTATTATTTATTATTATTATTATTATTATATTATAAGATTAGACTCTCTCCGATGCGGGAAGTTTGAATGTATGATATTATTTATCTTCTAAAATGCCTTCAAAGAGCAGCGAAACTGAGGTGTTTGAAGCGTGGCCCTAATTGTGAATTAATTTGGCGCCCATATACTTACACCCGTAGATGGTATTGTATAGGAAAAATCTCCATATTGTAAGGAATAATAACCAGCACGGAATTTACACCCGTTAATTTTAAATGTTGCTAACCACCTATGGTACCTCAAATTCATCACATACGTGAAGCAAAAAGTTTGAGTATGATTCTGGAGCTCAAGAAAACGTACGCAGGTTTTACTAGTCCTTCGTATGTCACTTATCTTTCGCTGGTTTTTGACAAAAGTAAATCGAAAGTACTGGTTTGTTTGAAACGTTGACGTTGTTTTCCAGCATGAGGCTATCAATTGTAAACGATAGTTCACAAGGTGTGAGTGTACGCCACGGATCAAATCAACCGGAAATTTCTCCGGCCAGTGAAGTAAAATGGATTTATTCAGCATAAAATGGAACCTCTCCGACGTGGAAACGGTATGTTTTTTTTATGACCTACAGGAGGAAAATATTTATAAAAAGAATTACTGTGAATTTACTGCAATTTACTAAGATACGCGAAATGTTCATAATAAATGAATGCATCTTCAAGCATGTTCAAATTTTCTATCCCTGTGACACGCAATTTAAATCGTGCAGCCGGACATTGATGGATGGGGTCTTCAGCTGTCGCGTAGAATTCGACCTTGGTTCGCTTGTCTTTCAAGCACAGGACGTAAGGGAATTCCTGTCTTGTGACTGAGCGTGGGAAAGTGTACGGCATGGCTTCTATTCACGCGTCTCCCTGCCCCTCTAGCAGATATGCATTGTTCAAGGCTATGCGAGGGTATTAGAAAGTTCATTGTACTGGGTTGTGCGTTGAGTCGCAAGCAGCCACTAGGCAGTAAGGTTTTGTGTATTTTTCAACTCACAAGCTGTCAATGAAGGGTGTTTAATATACATGTATTGGTGATTTTTTTTTATAAATGTTGTAAGTTAATGTATTTTGATAGTCACAATGTCATGTAATTTAGTCCTATTTTCAGGGCAGATCTATCAGGTATCGCAAGTGTCATAAAAATGGACCTCCCCAAGCCGGAGTTTTCGTCCCGACAGATTTGAGTGTAATGTTGCACTCGTTGCAGGCTCCGCTGGTGCCCCGCGGCGCGCCCGTGGTGAACGCGTTGTCCAAGCAGCGGGCCGCCATCGAGAAACGTGCTTCGCGCCGCGCTGGGCCTGCCGCCAGACAACGCCATGCAGCTGGAGCACCGGCTCGCCCACAGCCCAACCACCCCCACGGGCGAACACGACTATGCTTGCCAACGGCACGCCCCTTGACCCAAAGGTTGCCGGAAGAGAGTCTTCGGCGGGGGTACGTGAGGGCTTAGAGTATTTACAAGGGGAGAGTGTGATACATAATTTTATTTTATTACTCCAAAGCCTTCAGGGTAAGATTTACCAGAATGTAAGATGAAACATTCACTACTTAAGCACTTTGACTTGTAATTTAGTTCCCTTGTAATTCAACAGTTTTTGAAGTTACTGTTTGCAATTATTCATGGCACAAGTCTGAACCA